CCGAATCCCAAATCCTGAAATAACGAAATATCCAAACTGAATTTTTCCACAGCTTACATGTCTACATATCATTATGGATGTCACACCACTTCCTAAGACTCAATCTTTCAAAAACAAACATCATGATATATTTTTTTAAATGGGCATCTCAGTGCACAAAAAAAACAGACCTGCACCTTTTTTTTTTTTATGAATGCACTGCATCACAAGGCACAAAAGGTGTTCTGAAACACATGTGAGTTATGTGTTGGCAAGGTGCAATGTGGATCACAAATACCTGCAAAGTCCTGCACTGAATGGTGCCTCTAAATAAGATTCAGGAGGGTGGTAATATCAGTACGAATCTGAACTCAAGAACACCGGGACATGACCTCAAACTTGCAGGAGGAAAGTTCAAATCTAAGATTAGAAATTATTAGTTTACTGAAAGAGAAATTGATGCTTGGAACACCCACCCAACAGAGGTAGTGAGTCAGTCAACAGACAGTAAGTGAATTTAAACATGCTTGGGACAAACACAGATCGATAGTCAGACAAAATGGTAAACAAAAGGGGGAAACTGAGGACCATTTTGGTCTTTTGCTTCCATCTATGTTTTTATGAAAAGGTTGGAGTGTAATAATGTTTAGCAAAACTGGAGTTCTTTGAGGGCCCATTACTACATACGCTTTGCAGCAAGTGGTCAAATGCATGCATTACTGTCCTGTACCTGGATGGAGACCAGTTGGACAAGGGGCTACCCAAGCAGCTCTTGTCCCACACCCCTGGGGATGGAGACAGAGAAGGTGGGGATGCAGAATGGCAAAGACGCCTGCACTGGCTGCTGGACAAGGTTTTGTGCAGAAGCTGTGGATGCTCAAGGTAGAAGAAGGAGCAGGCGAGTCTGCAGGGATCGGGTGACTTGCAGAACCTCTGGAAGCTGGAGAGCTTTGTGCCAAGGGTGACCAGATGAGCAGACACCAGACAGCAGGGGAGAGAGGAACCAGACAGATAGCTGGAAGCAGAGTCAGAGCCTTAGCCAAGATCATACTTAGGAGGGCAGATTAGCAGGCAGGAGCAAGGTCAGGATCATAAGCCAGGGTCATACACGTATAAGCGAAGTCATGAAGTTCCAGAGAAGGAGACAAGAAGTCCAAGGGTCACATTTGCCAGTGACCATCCCCATGCGTGCACCAACGCATGTTTTCCAGAGAGTTTTTGCACATGACCATGCACCATGGTGTGCGTGCATTCCTGGGTTCGGACTGGACTCCTGGTAAGTCTCTTTCAGTCATCACGTGCACTGCAACTCCCCTACTCTTGCTAAAAAAAGAGGTCATTTATTCATCCTTTGTGGTGGGTTGGAAGCCTGTTCATAATAACTGGGCTGTCTTAATGCAAAATACATAATGTAACCTACACTAATGAACTGCAATGGAATACCTAAATGTATTTCTACTTTTGTAGTCGAATTTGAGAAAACCCTTCTATATGTTTGTTATGTGTTCCCATTCACAGAGCAAAATTAAAAATAATTTAAAAAAATAAAAACTTGTAGGAGGCAACATGGCTGAATCCAGGTTTTTCTCAGCAGCTTCACTGTGACCTGTCCTTACAGAAAGGACAGAAATTTGTGTTTCATCAACTTCATTACCATTAAATGCAAACCTCTCACCCCTCACAGCCCCTCCTGACATTACAAAGAAGGAGAAGGCAAGTAGAAATTGCAACCCTAAAGAAGCTAAGAAAACCTAACCCTAAGTAAAAGCAATTTAAACTGCAAGTAGTATTTTTTACATATTGTTTTAGCCTATGCTATGTGAATGGGAACCTAACAAATATAAGATAGGTATTATCCCAATTTGGCTGCAGAAGTGGAAATACACTTTAAAGTGACATTAAACCCTCAGATTTTTTAACATAAACCAATACTGTAATGTGCGCCTTACTGTAATCCATGGTTGTTTCCCTTCTCTTTGCTGCTCTTCCTTTTAAATCTGTATCTCTTCTCATGCTTGGGGAGAACTTCCCTTTGCAGCTGAGTGCCTCTTCCTGTAGTGCTGGCTCAGGTTGTGAACCTACACACAGACACCATGTATCCATTTCAGAGACAAGGCAGTCTGCTGCAAACAGAAGTTCTCCCCGAGCATGAGAAGAGAGAAGGATTTAAAAGGAAGAGCAGCAAAGAGAAGGGAAACAACCATGGATTACAGTAAGGCGCACATTACAGTATTGGTTTATGTTAAAACATCTGAGGGTTTAATGTCACTTTAAGTGTGAATGGGCCCTTAATGATCATTTTGGACACTGCTCATACTTGTGGGGTTAACACATGAACCACAAACTAAAGGAAGTATTCCTTACTGGCACATTAAAGAATCCTCAAGAAACCGGTTAGTATCTGTCTTGTTTCTTGGTGAAAATAATTAAATGCTCGGGGACGGATGAGAATTGCTCCCAGGATGAAGCTATATATTATAAAAAGGATCATGAACAGATCCCCGGCATCAGACAGGTGTGCATTCCGGAGAGGTGAGTGACGCAGCAAATTGTCTATCGTACGGCGTATTTTCTGTGCGGACATATTTGGGGTTAGATTTACCTTAAAGTGTATGTATAGCCAAACCTTTTTTTTTTTTACTTATAGATAGAATGGGATAAAATGTTTCCATTCTGGTAAATGTCTGACACCTGAACAGGAAGTGAGGGGAAATCTCTCTAAAAGAACCATGGATAGTGGGAAAATCCAACAGGAATTCTAACCTTTCCACATTCTATGCAAAAGTATAACAAATGTTTTGGGGATACAGCAGATACAGTTTAGAATCATATTTTTTTTTAGTTTTGAATAAAGTGGGGAAGGATTAGAACCCCTGTTGGATTTTTGCTGCTGTCCGGGGCTCTGTTAGAGAAATGTTCCTTTATTTTCCATCTTAACAACAACAATTTTACCAGACAGGAAGTGAGAGTGAACAATAACAGCAACACAGACAGGAATACTTTGTTACTTTATAACTGTTATTTTGTTTCAATATATGTATCAACAAAGCCTGCAATCTCTGTGTGACAGATTCCTATACAGTATAGGAAATTATGGACACCGGCACTCCAAAGTAGAAAAACGTCTTTTATTGACGTGTCATGCAACAATACACTTTTTGCAACGCTTCGGGGTCACACAGGATCCCCTTCATCAGGCAGAACAAGCCTCACACGTTCTGCCTGATGAAGG